TCTTGATGAATTCTTATCTTGATGAGATGGACAGCCTCCATCTCCAATAGTTTCATAGGCTCGCTGTGCCAAGCCTGGGTCTCCCTACCGAGAGGCAAGTAGTCTCAGCTAGAAAGGGGTCTCCGTGTACATCTTCCGTCTCCTTGGAGGGTGCCCATCATGGCCACGGTAGATGGGAGGGCGTCTGGCCTTGGATCCGTCAGTCCTGCCGTTTCTCTCCCTCGCGTAGAAAGGAGATGGACACAGGAGAGGGGGGTGAGAAGTCTCACAGGGGGCCAAACTGGTCCTCTGACCGCAGCTTTTCGGGTTGTACAGTTGTCACCCGCTCCACCTCCGGGGGTTAAAATTCCGCCAAGCAAGGGGACAGGAGAGCTGCAGGTGGACCGGCGGAGGGGTGGGGAAAGAACGGGAGGCGCAGGCACAGCTTCCCTACCGGGCTTTTGTGTTGTGTGACTAATGAAAGCCAGTATTTCGGCAGCGGAACGAAGCTTTCTGGGCTGGGTAAGTAAAGGTCTCCCCTGGGGATGATGCGTTGTAAGGCTGAAATTCTAGAAGTGCCCTTTAGAGAAGGCAGAGGGACTGAGGACGCAGCAGAGAAAAGGCGGAGAGTGTGGATGAGTGGAGAGGGTGCTGGGACCCCCAGAAGTTCTGGGGAGAAGCTCGTTTCTGGAAAGAAGGGCCCCATACCGGCCGCTCTGGGGCTTGCCACGCCCGTGTTATGCTGTGGAGCAACAGGGGCGCAGCGCTTTGGAGGTGGGACTCGACTCCCTGTCCTGGGTAAGACGTAAGAGCCGGGAGACGGGGCCACTGTCCCTTGGACCCGGAGTGTCTACCTCTCCGTCCAGCCCCGGTGGAAGAGGGTTGAGTAAACTCTGGTCCCCATGGGGCTTCCGGGGAGCTGGGTCTGCCACCGCTTTAGATGAGACTTGGTCGATTCCTGTTTGTCCTCTAAGTCTTCAGCCCATAAAGTGCTTCCTTAGTCTCCTGTCGGTGGCCATTCCTCCTTCTGCTGTGCGTGGATCGGCCCCTCCTAAGTCTCTTCCTCTTTCCCCTCTTTCCCCAGAGTGTGCTTAGGCCTTTCTCCTAGTGGGATCCCTTTGGTCCTGAGCCGTGAATCCAGGCAGGGAAAGGTGGCCATCTCTGCTCTCAAGGAGCTAAGACTAGCGCTCTGGCTGGAGACCTCTGGGGGCTTTTCCTCCAGCCTCCTGCAGCTGTGTTCCTATAATTCGCCCGTCCACTTTGGGACCGGCACCAGGCTCACCGTGACAGGTATCAGACAGGGAGGGGGGTGTAAGGAGGGGGTCAGAGCTGCCCTTTCCTTCTGGAGCATCTCCAGTTTGCTCCGCTGTGTTTGATGCTTCTCTTCGGACGAGGGCTCAGAGGAGCTGTGCTTCTGTGCTTCGTCCCCGGCTTTGTGTTTCCTCATTCTCCTTCTCGTTGTTCTCCAAGACTCCCCTCCTCTCTCCTGATTTAGCGGGTGTGCTGCTTTACTTTCCCCTTCTTGCCTGATCTCCATTTCCCCCCCTCCTTCTAACTCTGATCCTGCACTGTTGACCCCGTTTTGGTGAACAGCTCCATCTTCTATGTTAAAATCCACCCCCAACACCTCCCTCCAGCTCAGAGGGCTGTCCTCGCCTTCCTTGTGTCCTTCTCTGTCTCCAAGATCCATGTGTGTCTTCCTGAGGTGGTTTAAGGACTCAGGAGGCCATAGGGGAGCAGCTTGGTGAGACCGAGGGGGCTTGAGGGGGACTCCTGAGCCCTGAAGGCCGAGGTCCGTGTCACAGCATCATGTGAGCTTGCAGGGGTGGCCCTGGGGAACATTGCACTTGCTGGGGGTCAGAGGAGGTAGGTCTGAATAAGCTGTTACAACTGGAAACTTAACACCATCTTAGCAACAGCCAAGGCAGAAAGAAGAGAAGCAGGTTGAGGCCCCATGCTCTCAAACCTCAGGATCTGTGCTGAAATCAGCGAGTCAGAGGCCCATCGTGAAACGCTAACACACCATTACCACCCTCTGGAGGAAGCAGGCAGGTGGGAGAAGCAGGGCGAGGGTGAGATGGGCCTGGGCTGGAGTTATAGACACAGCCCGAGCAGCAGGCCACAGAGGTTCTACCAGATTGGTTGGCTGGGGCAGGCTTTGTCCTGCAGATGGGAGCACGTGCCAGGGAGTGTCATGGAAATTGGAAAGTACAAATCACTGGGATTCAAAATGCCTGGGTTCTGGGGAAGGAGTGGCTCATGCAATTTGCAAAGTGACCTAAACTGTCTCAGGCCCTCTGAGATGTATAAAACAGAGATGACAATGGTAGTCTCTTGGGGTCCTGAAACTGTAAGGGACTAAATCATGTGAAAATCCTTTGTAAAGGATTGACCCTCTTGTAGCCATCCTTTTCATTCTTGTTTATCCTCACTGTGTCACAGAGTATGCCTTGTTCCAAAGCTGTCTCAATTTTCCCATTAGAAACATTTCCCAAATTTGGATAAAGTGGAGACATCTGGGTTTGCCATACTTCTGCTCCACAAACTCATTCCTAGAACAGAGCCAAACAGAGGGCACAGTACATTCTGGCAACAAGGAGGGTGCTTGAAAGGTAGACGTGGTTTTTTTCCCATTCCTCCATGTCTTCACATGAGGGCCTGCCTTCCAACAATTCCAGAGATTCTCTCCCTTCTGTCAAAGGCATGTCAAAGGGCCTGGGACTTTATAATATGAATCCTCTGATGAACTGGCCCTCGGACTTTGGGATTTGTTCGTTTCCAAGCTTTTGCTGCTTTTATGAATATAAAGCGTGGCTGGAGCTAGGATTCAAAAGCGGGGAGAGAGGTTTGCTGGGCACTGGAAATAAGAAAGGGTTCAACCCATGAACATTTCCTTTCTTGGGATTCCCGCCATCCTCGACACCTGGAGCGCCCTGGTGTAGCAGTCAGTATGGAGCATCAGATAGGATAATAGCCAGAGGCACGGGGGCTCCACAAAGCAGGTTACATGTAAAATCAAAACAAAAGGTGAGTTGGGTAGAGTATAGAGAAAAGAATATGTCAGATGCAACGGGAAAAGTATCTCTTCTGGGGAAGAATGTCTAATTCTAATTAATAGGTGCTGTCACTCAAACAGATAAGCACACACACCCTGCAAAAAACAGGAAAATGATCATTGGAAAAAGTCAGTTTAGTTCTCAGGATCATGCTGCTAGTAGGAATCCTCTGCCTCAAAATCCAGGCTTATTTCAACTCTACTGTAATTGCTTCTAAGTCTGAAAAGTTAGTCATGCACCAAAGAGGGATTTAAACTAGGAAGAAAATAGATATTCGATGGCTAATCCTACAGGGCCCCAAGTACAGGGCTTTTCAAACACAGCCAAGAAAATCAGGGTATAATGCCACCTTAGGGACTCGTGGGAGGCAGTCAGTGGTGAGTGCCCATTGAGGGGAGAGAGAAGGGGCAAGGATGAGGAAGACTAACAGCAGGGAATGCGGATGGTGACACCCAAACAAATCACCCCTGCCTCTCCCTGCTCCACACTAAGCTTCCCAGGAACATGAAACATCAAAACGTTGAAGTGGGATAATCATAAAACTTTTCACAAAACTTGCCCTTTGACAAAGCACTTGCAGGTGTGTAATTTGTTAAGCACTCACAACAGCGCTGTGGGGAAGACATTACCCCATTTTTCAGTTGCAGAAACGAAGGCCAGGGAGGTTGCAGGTCACAGAAGGTAGTAAGAGGCAGGGTCTAGCCTGGAACACTTCCCAATGCAGCAAAATCTCCATCACAAATCCCGCTTCCAATTTCACAACCACTCTAAGTCCCCAAGCCAAGCTGATTCTCTGCAAATTGGGGATGACCTCAGGCAGGGCCCGGATTTCTGTGCCCAGCTAGTTCTGAAGAGAGGTGGGAAGAGAGAAGCCAGGCAGAAGGAGGGTGGCCCCAGTCTGTGCCAGGGGAGGAAGGGAAGAGGGAGGAATTCCTGGTAGCCCCTTCCCACTGTGCTCCTACAGTGAGCTGCACTTCGGGCCAGGGACCAGGCTCACGGTGCTAAGTAAGAGGGTTGCTCCAGGTGGGCGGGAGGATGGGCTGCCCAGCCTGGATGACCTCCTGAATCCTGGCTTTTGGGGAGTGGACGCTGGACCCTCCTGGGCTGCTCTCAGGGAAGGCTAAGTTTGCTCCTGGGTCCCAGGGCTGTGTGAACACCGGGAAGCTGTATTTTGGCAAAGGCTCCAAGCTGACTGTGCTGGGTAAGGAGGGCAGCTGGGGTCCCTGAGCGCTCGCTCGGGCGGTCTGGAGAGAGGTGGGCTGCTGCCCATCTCCATTTGGGGCTGTGCTCGGGGTCGGTGGGGACCTGGGCTGAGTCCGGGACATCAGGAACCGGGGCAGCGGCGGTTTTTGTCCTGGGCCTCAGGGCTGTGAGCAACGACCCTCTGTTCTTCGGCGGGGGCACCCGGCTGACTGTGCTAGGTGAGCGGGGTGCCCTGGGGCGTTAGCGGAGCGGGGCGTTCGGGACGCCAGCAGGGCCGCGGGACCCCTTTTTGTGCTGAGCCCTGAAGCTGTGAGCACTGACACTCAGTACTCCGGCGCGGGCACCCGGCTGCCGGTGCTAGGTGAGCGGGGACGCTGCCGCCGGGGACGCGGCGGGGCGCGCGGCGGGATTTTGCGCGGCGCTGGGGGGCCGCGACTCAGCCCCGGTACTTCGGGCCGGGCACGCGGCTCCTGGTGCTAGGTGAGCGCGGGCGGCGCGCCTCGGTTTGGGTGGGGAGCCGCGGGGCTGTGCTTTACAGGCGCCGCCCTGCCCTTCGGGGCCGGCAGCCGGCTGACCGTGGTGGGTGAGTGTCCGTGGGCCCGGCAGCGGCGGCGGGGCGGGATGGAAGGCGGCGAGCGCGGGGCGGGGCGGACGCGGGCACCTGGTCCCCTCGCAGCATTGAAGCGGGGCGCTGGGACCCGGGAGTGGCCTGGAGCTGCGGGGGTTTGAGTGCGGGGCTTCTCACTGTGCTCCTATGTGCAGTATTTCGGCCCAGGCACCAGGCTCACGGTCATAGGTAAGATTTGGATGCCTCCCCTCCTTCCAGCCTGGCTCCTGGGAGGTCGCCAGAGATGGGTGGTGTGGGTTGGAGCTGGGGCGCGTGTCCAGTTGTCCATCTGGGGGTCAACTCTGCAAGGGAGGTGGGGAATATTGGGTGGGGAGGGTTTGGGGTAGGGATACTCCCGGGACGGGAATTTGGACAGAGGGAAAGGGGGGCTTTGGTCTCTGAGATATTTAGGGCCAGGGTGAGCATTGGAGAAAGAGGATTTATTGGGACTCTGAGAGCTGCTTGATTGGAGAAAAAGACCCAGGAGGGCAGTCTGGGCTGGGGGAAGGGCAGGAGGGGGTGTAGCTGATGCAAAGGGGAGAATGAGCCCAAGGGGCAGGAAGGAGCAGGGATGAGCACAGGATGTGGCCCCCTGCACAGCCGGCTCCTGGGAGATGCAGATGGAGGCTTCCACTGAACAGAGGAGAAAAAGGATGACAAACAAGAGTGTGGAACAGAGGTGAGAGAGAGAAACACGAGGCATGAGGGAGAGAATCAAAACCAGCGGGGTTTGTTGATCTACTGTTTAGAAGTTTGGATTTGAAATTAGGTTTAAAACCTCTTCCTCTCTTCCTAAGCCCCAGACCCCTGAGGGCCAGGCTGTGTGTACAGCACATGGGGGCTAGATGGGAACCTGGGCCACTGGGTGGATTTACTCACCAAATGTACCCCCCTCATCCCCTAGCCAGAAATCTCCCTCCTCACACCATGTCTTCTAGGTTAAACAGCCGGGTGGTGCAGGACATACATTAAAATGCAGATATTTTGCTTGTCATGTGAGGAACATTCCCTGGAGGATCTTAGGCTCTTTGTGCTGGAAAAGGACCTTAAAGGTCACCTGGTGATGGGAGCACTGAGGCTTCAGGGGGAAGAACCCCTCAAAACTGGTATATTTACTGGCTTACTTGACAACAGCAAGCGTGTTTGTAGTTAGGCTCATTAAGATGGAGCCAATGGGGATCAGCTGAAGTGTTTGTTCCCGGAGAGGAAGCTGGGTTCCTATGATCAGCCAGGGTGGAAAAAAGCAGGAGACCTTACAACCAGGTAAATCTAGGTCCCAAGCCCTGGTCCTTTAATGATCTGGTGACCTTGGTCTAGTGAATCTGTGGGAACCTCCCCTCTTCTATACAATGTCTGATGACAATACCTACTGCTAAATCTGCTGTGAGACTTACAAGAGTAGCTACATGGAGAGTATCCAGGAAACCTCTTGTAATCCAGTGGTCCCCTCCCTACCCTTCCGCTAAGTGGCCACTGGCAAGGGAGGGGAGCCCAGTGCCAAAGGAGGGGCAGGTTTGGCATGGGGCTAATGGGCAGGAAGGCTGGGAACAGGACCCGTAAACTTCAGAATTCTGCCTGAGGCTAGTTCAGCCCACATCCAAGCACACACAACAGAAGCTCACCAGGACACACACATGCACCCACATGGGCAAGCCGACCCACACCCCGCAGGGACTCGCAAACATGGAGGGAGAACTGGCTTTGCCCTCACCATGGAGACCTGTAGTCAGTGCTTCAGGGTGTAAGGAAGGGTCTGGCTTCCGATCGTTCTGTCCATCACGTCACCCTCATGGGGACCATCGCACGTGGCTCAAAAGGCATCTTTACTTTTTCCAATAGGGGCTGAGAGTTTGCTGGGTGAGGAGGTCAGAGGAGTAGATTCCATAGTGCCCTTGGAGGGCTGGTTGAACCCCAGGGGCAGGGGCTTTGAGGCGAGAGTGAATAACCAGGCTAGGGCAGAAAGCCTGATGGAGCTGCACAGCAGAGAGAAGTTAGGAGATTACCTGGTCGGCCAGTAAAGACCTAGGGACGGAGGAGTAATCAGCAAGGTGGGAAATGCAGGGCGGGGCAGCAGAACCACCGCAAAGGAAACACCCAGGGCTTTTGCTAAAAATTACTTAGAATCTCAAAATGGTGACAGCAGCACATTAAATCAGAAAGGGGCCCTCCTAAGTGTGGGGTCCTCTGTGACTGCACAGGTCACACACCCAGGAAGGCAGCCCTGAAGCCGGGTCACATCCAGGGAAGTGTGAAGTCAGAACATTGTCTCCATCTTCCAGCCTAAACTAGATCTCTTTAGAGTGAGATGTCTCCCTTTTAACAGAATTGCTCAGAAACCAACAAAACAATCGATAAAAAGCAAAGAGCAGAATAACATGACTGGAGGAGGGCCCAGAGGCAATAGCAGCCAAGTGCAAAGGCCGCAGGGGCATTAACTGGACCGCCTTCACCTGGAGGCCTCGAGGACGGCCAGCACCAGGGGCTTAGTTGTAGCAAGACAGCCGAGAGCAGAAGTTGCCCTGATGATCTCACAGGCCTATTTAGGAAGCTTGCTGGTAGCGTAAAGTAGAATACGTGGAATCAAGGGGCCAAAGTAGGTTGAAGATGCCTGCATTTGAAACATAGGGAGATGGCTATCTGTCTGAGCTGAGGAAACTCAGGGGTACCTGGAGGCAGAGGAATGGCTAGGATGACCCGCTGAAGCAGCAGAACGAAAGAAGACCTCCCATTCTCATGAGCACACCCTAATACAAAAGGCTGTCCTCACGTGGTGCCCCCAAATATGCCATCTGTATACTGTCATCTGAAGAAAAACCTCCAACCCCAAAATGACCCCCTCAGCCCCAAATCCCCTTTACTCCTCGGCCCCTGAGACTCACATACAAGTAAGCCAGCTGAGAGCAGGGGCTTTCTGAATCCTTATATCATTTCATCTCCACCCCCGCTCTGGACAGTCGGTGTTGGGATTCTCCCTTCACAAGCAGGAAAAGTGATGCAGAGACAATGAGAGGCTGTCTAAAGTCATGTTGGTGGGCAAAGTCAGTTCCAAGCTTTGAAATCCGTTCTTCTGCCTCCAATCCACTGCTCTATTTAAATAACTGCCACATATTATGGGGAGAAAAAGACAGGTAAGCGTTTCTTGATGGATAAGAAATCAAATAAGGGGAAAGAAGAGACATTGCTCAGAATGTTGGGCAGTGCCATTTGTAAGGCCACCTTAGGGGCTGGGCACACGGGAGACAGGCCTGTCGTCGGGTCAATACAAAGGCCGGGCAGGCCGAGGGAGGACAATCACAGAAGAGCGGGTGGTGACCCCCAAACAAACAACCAGGACCTACTACCACGTAATTTCCTTGTACGATGACCCCGTGGCCCCCTTCCCTGTGCCCCCAACTCACACGCACAGGCGCAGCCCTACCACGCCCAGCCGGCCCTCCGGGCACCCTTGCTCCCAACCCCTCTCCCTTCCAGACGACCTGAGCAAGGTGACCCCACCCAAGGTGGCTGTGTTCGAGCCGTCAGCAGCAGAGATCTCCCGGACCCAGAAGGCCACGCTCGTGTGCCTGGCCACGGGCTTCTACCCCGACCACGTGGAGCTGAGCTGGTGGGTGAACGGGAAGCAGGTCGAGACAGGGGTCAGCACGGACCCTCAGCCCTACAAGGAGGACCCCAGCCGCAATGACTCCAGCTACTGTCTGAGCAGCCGGCTGAGGGTCTCCGCCACCTTCTGGTACAACCCTCGCAACCTCTTCCGCTGCCAAGCCTGGTTCCACGGGGTCTCGGACGAGGACGAGTGGAAGCAGGACAGGCCCAAACCCGTCACCCAGAACATCAGCGCCGAGGTCCGGGGCCGAGCAGGTGAGCCGCTCCGGGAGGGTTCAGCAAGGAGGGAGGCAGAACAGACAGAGGGGGAGGTCCCGGGAGGAGACCAGAGAGACTAGATGCAAAATAAAGGGGAGGGTGTGGAAAGCCCACCGTGAGGGACGACAGGGCACCTCGGCTAATTCCTCCCCCACATCCCAGATCGTCAGCCCAGCTCAGCTGTGCTGAAAGGTCCCCCTCCCCACCCGCCTGCACAGCTCAGGGTCTGAGCAGTGGGTCCTCATCCCCTTCGGTGCTGCCACGTTCCATGCCCTTCGAGGATGCTGTGGCCACATCGCCAAAACAGAAGGAAGGCGGTGCTAGGACTCTGACCAGAGGCTGCCCTGAGCCTGGGAGTCTGTGCTGACTACAAGTCTGGCTTAGTTTTTTGTTTTTCTTGGTTGTTTTGAAAGCAGCTCAAAATACCACACATTTGTTATTGTATAGTTTTGATGGGTCAGGAATTTGGGCATAACTTAGCTGGCTCATCGTCCTCAGGAGGCTGCAATCAGGTGTCAGCCAAAGCTGGAGTCTTATCTGAAGGCTCAAGTGGGGAAGGATCCACTTCCAAGCTCACGTGGTTGTTGGCAAGAGTTGGCACCTTGCCAGCTATTGGGCTGAGGAAGGCTGGCTTAGCTTTGAATGTGCTTTTGAAGATGGACTCTCTCATCCATTTCCCTCCCCGTTTTTTCTTTCAGACTGCGGCCTCACCTCGGGTAAGTGGCCCCCTGCTCCTTTGTCTCCATCTCCCATGGTCTTTGCTCTGGAGCCAGAGAATGCAAAACCCATGAACCCTGGTGGGGCATGGAAGGGTGGGTGGTGCGTGGGCAAGGAGACCAGAGATCCCTGCTCACAGGTACCTACCTGCTCTCCCTTCCTGCCAACAGTGTCCTATCAGCAAGGGATCCTGTCTGCCACCATCCTCTATGAGATCCTGTTGGGCAAGGCCACCCTCTATGCTGTGCTGGTCAGCGCCCTGGTGCTGATGGCCATGGTAAGGACGAGGGCAGGATGGGACAGGTGATTGAAGGGAGAGGGTGGAATATCATGAAGGGTAACTGAGGGGGTCTCAGAGTCATGTCCTGGTACCTCAGTGGAGTTATAGTGGGACTGCCAGCCTGGGGAGAACGTCCGAGGTCATCCCAGAATGTAGCTTTTGAGGATGGCGAGAATCAGCTAGCTCTACCCGAAGTCAAGCCCTAGAGTCAGCGTCCTCTGACCCACTCGTACTGTTCGGTGACCCCTGGCACCCTGACAATGTCCTCTTTTCCTCAGGTTAAGAAAAAGGATTCCTGAGACCAGCTCCAAAAGTGCATCCTGAGTCATTCTTCCTCCTCTCCGTGGATGTTCCTTAACATGTTTCCAATCTGTGTTCCTCAAGAGTTTCTCTCTCTCCACCTGTTATCTCCTTCCTACATGGATATCTGTCTCTTCTCTCAGCTTCCCTGCAGACTGAGCTCCTCCCAATTGAATCTGAAATTGACTAAAGCAATAAAAGTGTCATGGTGGGCTTGACTGTGTCCCAGGTGTGTTTATGGAGTTCTGCCCTTCCCTGTTCTACCTCTGATTTAGGGAAATCACCACCCCTCAGGCATACAGAGTGATGGACCCTCCTCTCTGACCAATGTCGATTCCTCCTGTTCGCCCTGATGGAGGATGGACCCCATGGTCCACACCTGGGTATTCTGGGCCTCAGTGGGTAGGGTTAGTTTGAAGGGCAAGGAGCTGGACTCTGGAAAACCTGCATATTGATGGCATAAGGATGAATGGAGGTGAACTGTAAGCCCCAGCTCAGCGCTGGACGGAGGACAGGGAGACCTGTAGGTTAGAATGTCTGATCATTTCTCAATTCCAGATTCAAGTTTCACTCCTTATGCATTTAGAGTTTATCTGTGTTGGTTCTTAACACTTCCGTCTTGTCTGCTTTCAGAATTTGGGCATAAGATTTAGTTCTACTTTGCCTAGGTTAGAATCCTAAAGGAGGCATAGAGTTGAAAACACTGAAGTGTGAAACCTGGAGATTTCACGGAGGTGGGACACATAGGGTCAAGCCCTGGGGAGGAATGGAGAAGGGGAGCAGGGTCCATTGGGGGCTGGGGTGCTGCATCTGAGTGTCTCTTCCAACAGGCTCCTTCACTTGATGGAATGGAGACCAGGTCATCCCAAATGTAGTGTGTTGAGTGCACCCACTTGGGTGGAGACCATTCCCTTACTTGGGTAAATGCTACTGCAGGTTACAATCACTGTGGTAGAACACTGCACCCAGAGAGGAGGGAGTGCCATCAGAAGACAGAAGACAGACCATTGAGAGAGGCTCTGGGTAAGTTAGTTGAGGCAGAACGCTGCGGGTGAGAAAGCAGTTCTGAAAGCTGGGAGAGGGTGGGAAAAGTGGAGTCCTTATAGCCTGCTTTGTTCCAGGATTCGGGCTGGGCACTGGCACATGTGTTGTCCCAGCCAATCCCCACAATGATCCCAGAAGCAGGTGTTTTTTTCCACCTTCATAGGTGAAGAAACCATAGTTCATAGGTCAAATGACTGGTAAGCTGTGAAACTGGCACATTCTTCTGAAGACGGCAGTTCAGGAAGTTTTTCCCAAGTCGTGACCAAGAAGTCACAAAATCGCTGGGTGACCTTAGAGCAGCTGCTCCCAAAGTGTGGGCCAGGACCTGTAGCAACAGACTGAGGACACCTCGATTCCTGAGTATATTTGTTCCCCAGTGGTGCTGTAACAAAGACCCGATGGTTTAAAGCAATAGAAATGTATTCTCTCACAGTTCTGGGGGGCAAACGTCAAAATCAAGGTGTTGGCAGGGCCACGGTCACTTCCAAAGTTCTAAGGAAGAATCCTTCCTTGCTTCTTCCCATTTCTGATGGCTCCTGGCCTCCTTGGCTCATGGCGGCATCACCCCAACCTTCTATTTCTGTCTTCACGTCTCCTTCCCTGTATCACTGTGTGTAAGCTTCCTTCTCCTTTCTCTTACCAAGACACAAGTCACTGGATTTAGGGCACACCCTAAACTCAGAAGGATCTCATCCCAAGGTTCTTAAATAATATCTGCAAAGATCTTATTTCCAAATTAGGTCACGGTCTGAGGTTCTGGGTGGGCGTGAATTTGGGGTGACATTATTCATCCCACTACACTGCGTATCAGGAGTGGGAGACGAGGGGTTCTCTGGACCCAGCTCACACAGGCCAGGAAAGGACATGGCCCAGGGAAGGGATGGCCTGGGAAACTTATCACATGCCCATAATTTCCCATCAGTCATGAGTATCTCAAGATTTCTCAAACTGCAGACAGTTGTTTTACTTGTTGCTGTTGTTGTGTATTTGTTTTGGTAATGACTAAAGAATCCCCAAACAAAGGAGACTGAGTTTAGACTCTAGACCAGCACCCACAAAAGCAACCCCTCCCATTCTTCAGACGTGTGTGGTGGTTCCTCACAAGGGCGGGACAGGGAGATAAGCAGCTAAAGAGACAAGCAAATGCCTCAGAGGGAATGAGGCATATGGACCAGAAGGAACGGGCCAAGCAGGGATTGTTGGAGCCAAGAGCTTGTGCAAAGCAGAACTGTGAGGGGGCTCGGGGTGGAGGCGGGAGAGGAGGGCCTGTGGGCTTGGTGGCTGCCATCTTTGGGGTGCTAAAAGCAGAGGCATTAGCAGGTGGGAGGATGTGGGGGGGAGTTGCTGGTGGGCACCTGGGGTTTGTCAGAGTGAGGAACGAAGGAACGAATGTCCCCTGGAGGATGGATGACTCTGTGTATGTCACCTTCTCACTCCTGGAAACATAATAGAGATGAAGAAACTCCATTTGGTCCCCACCCTACCTTGACCCAGGGAGGCCCCTCTTCCCAAATCTTTACAGCCCTTTCCTTGTCTCTCTCAGACAGCACTGCCCCCAGCATTCAATTCACAGGCACTGGGAAGTTAATTTCTTCTGCCTCTACCTTTTTCTCTATAATCTAAATAGATCTTTCTGGACCAATTCTAGCCAACCCGTCCATTCTTCCTCAGGTGAAACTGAGCAAAGATGGATTAGATATAGGGCAACCATATCATTTATTATGAGAATGAGGATGCTACTGAGGGTGAAAGATAAGTTGCTGGGACAGGAAGGCTAAGCCAGGATTGTCCTGGCAACCAGGACACATAGCCGCTCCAATTAAAGGGGCTCAGAGGGCGTTTCTGAGACCAGAGTCACTCCTGGAATGGGAAGCACTAAACCAATTCCTCATTGACCTGCGCCTCTCCACCTATTCCAGTCTCAAGGCTAATCCAGACTTCATCCCATTAAGGAAATCTGTGGGCAGAATGTAGTACAGGGGCAAGGCGTGCTTACTGATTGAAGAGACTCAGAAACCAGGCATCTCTAGAAGAACGCCTGTGGTCCCCCAAGTTCTCACCATTCCAAGGGGCACAGCTCGACCCCGCCATGGGTAGCTCTCCAGGAGAGGAACCTCCACCCTGTGACCTTTAGAGATTTACTCAGAAATTAGGAGGGGAAAGGAAGCATCCAGCTGGTCATGTTGGGTGACATCTGGTGGGGGGAATGGGACTCCTGTGGGGAAGGGTTGTTTGAGTCACTGTCACTTGGCCAGAAGAATGTTCCTATCAGCACCAGGATCTAGTAAAGACCTGCAGCCTCTCCTACCGCCCCCCCCCCCCGGGGTGGGGGGCGGGGCAGGCTACGTAAGGTTGGGTAGTAAGGATGCCAGGGATGGGGCAGGTAGAGGACATTGAGACCATCCAAGAGACAAAGACTTTTTCTCTCTTAAGTAAATGACTAGGGACGAGAAAAAAGAAAAAACGGATTTTAGAACAAGAGAGGTCGGGATAAGAACAACAGATCTTGACAGATACTAATACTCGCGTTTCCTGCCCTGAGCCATTTCCCTGTTTTCCTTCCTCCCTAGTGACCCAGAGAAGGGGATCCTGACCGACTTCAGCCCCTCACAGTGTGTGTGACACACAGCCCCAATGGTCCTATACAGGAAGAGCCTTCTGAGATTGACCTGCTTAGGGATGGATGTGGGAATAGAAGATTGGTACTTGAGACCTCTCTGGAAGCTATATGTGTACAAGGAAAACACACTCATACCTCGGTGTATTACATTTAGGGATTAGGAGATGCTGATGTAAATCAAGAAATGGCTAAAGACCCCAGGTCAGTTCTTAGCACTGCACTAACCTATGGATGAATCTGTTATCTGCAACCCCACTGACCTCTTCTCAAACTTTCGTCACCAAGTTCCCTTTTTCCATGTCCATGGAAATTGCCCTGTAGCTATATAAGACTCACAGTGTGGAAGGCCACCAAGCCTGGGCAACAATTGTAACTACAGTTCATTCTCATTAGTTGTGGCGGATTCCCATAGTTTCCAGAAAGGTGATCTCTGGGCCTTGAGACCCCATAACGTGAGATGTCATACACCCCCTCCTGGCCCCCAAAATGAAGCATTTCCTGCCTCAGTCTAAGGTTGGACATCCTCCCCTCGCATCCTGAGTACTTTCTCCTCTTTTGCTGCTTGTGGATCTGAAACCCCTGGGTTCTTAGCACACCACACTCTCTGGCTCTCCTGGGGGTTTATTGTGACAGTACTTGGTGGTGCTCTGAGTCGCCACCCTGCAGCAAATGACATAGTCTCTGCTCACCACCCCACCCCACCCCCAGGGTCCCAGCTGCATGTCTTTCCTCCTCCATCTCCATCTATTGTTGCACTTGGACTCCTCGGAGGGCTTCCTGGGGAAATGGATGAGTGGATGGATCTGTACATCAGCAAATAGAGCTGAAAGTGAGCCAACAACTGTGCCTATTTTCACAGAAGTTTTGTCTAACTTAGCTCTAACTTATCTCAGCTGTCCTCTCTGAGTGTAAGGGTGGTCTTGACAGAAAGACTGCATGCCAGGGTTTCCCGTGGTTCCATCCCCTGCCACATCCTGACCAGATTCGCTGACATAAGGAAGTGGGTTTTATAATAGTGACTTGATGGTGGTCCTGGGCGTGACCCCAGCTGCCCACATTCTAGGCCACTCCAGTGGTTACAGCTCAGCCCTTTTACCCTCATTCCCACCATGCGTCTTGACTTTGACTGGATATTGGACCCACAGACACTCTGGGTGGTAAAGAAGCATAAATTTCAGAGTCTTGAATCCCCCCAGTTATCCTTGATCTGTCCCCGGACAGAGAACTCTCCACCTGTCTAGGTAGGCCACTTCGTCACTGGACAGTGCTACGAAGAAATTTGTCCCCTTTAGGTTTCCATAAATCTCACTGCAGTGCTGAGCACTGGTCATAATTATATGCCTGTGAGAGTCCTTCTTAAGACAGCTACATGCCCACCTCTAGGTGAGTCCACAAATCTATGAGAGACAGAACAAGCAGAACCTTTAAAAGCTTGAGTTTGCAAAATGGAAAAAGTATGCAGTAGATAGATGAGACCATTATGCCAACAAAGAATACGGACTTTAAAGCCAAAGAGACATAGTTTCAAGCCTTAGATCTGCCCTTATCA